CAATTAAATCACATAATTTTGTCAACATGCAATTTGTATTCTTTAATGTTGTTATTTCTCTCGAACGTTTACATTTATTTTTCTTAATCATATTATTTATATTAATCATATATTCTGTTAGCTCGTTAAGTTTTTTTTTAATTTCCTTTACTATAATAGTTGGCCGTTCAAAGTCATTTTCAGATTGAATACTTGAATTACAAAATGAATTACTAGAGCATTTGGTTCGGTTGTTTTTATCAATATCTTTTTTAATTTTTTGTATAATTTTTAACCATTCATCTGTATGTTTCAAGCAAGTGGCTAATAATTCACTAAGTTTACATTCATTATAATCATTTAGTTTTAAAGATTCTTTGCTTGCTTTAATTGATTGTTCAACCTTTTTTTTTACAGCGTTTAATTCATTCATATTCATTCCCTTTTTACAAAATTCTTCATATTTATTATTTATATTTAAACTATTTAATAATTCTTCGCATTTATTAAGAGTTTCATGAAACTGTGATTCTTGTTTGTCTATTATATTGTTAAATTGATTTTTATCTTTTTCACTGATTTTATTTATTCTGTAATTTTGCTCTTTTTGTGTTTCATGTATATTCCCTTTTTCCTGGATCATTGTATTACTATATTTTCTGCATAATTCTATAAGTGAATATGATTGTAATAATAATTATTAGTTTTTAATAAGTTATGGTAAAAGTAAAAATACCATTGAAACCTACAATGTAGCAACTATTGCTGATAGTAATTGACTCATGAATTAAGAACTTAAAACTTTCTGATGACTTAAAAATTATTTCCTTTCTTTAAAATGTTGATATCAAACTCCATATTTTTTTTTCTTTAAATTTGGTCTTGTGTAATAGCTAAATATGATTTTTAAATTGTTGGTATTACGATATTCAAGCGTGCACTAATAAATAATAGATTGTACACCTACTGCAATAATAAAGGCCTGMATTTAAATGCTCTACAAATAATTTTTCAACACAATAATGCTCTTTAAAAATTAGAATTAAGATTCCAAATGTTTTCATAGTAAATTCAATCATTATGTTTTCAAAAGTATTATTAGGTAGGTAATAAAAACTTAAATCATCAGTATGTTTGAACGCAAAAAATATATAGATTTTATTTTAAAAAAGAAATAATGTAGAATCCCCTTAACCAAGATAAATTGCTAAGAGCTCAACATTTGGACATTTGCTGGAACTATAGTTGTAAGTGCTAGGTTTTAAGAGTATTCTTACTTTKATCATAACAAATGGATAACTATTTGATAGTTACAAAATATGTAGATTTGTTAATATTTGAAAGTTAGTTAATAGTTAAACAATTTTTTAATTTATATTCATTTAAAAATAAATAAAATGCTTTGATATCTGTGGAAAAGG